TTTTTTTTTTTTTTTTTTAAGTCGGACTAATATGTGAAAAAAAATAAAGATTTATACAACATATTGTTCAAATAGCAAATTTACCTTCTAGTTTCAGCAATTTTTTGATCCCTCACTTTTTTCAAAATACATTTTTCTCCCACTTTTTTTCAACCATTCATTCTGCATTGAAGTAATATTATACATAAATCAATTTTTTTTAAGCCATACATTCTCCATCGATCTACTATTCTAAAATATATATTTTTTAAAAATGTGGGGCTTAAACACCCCTATAATTTTTTCTTATATTCACAACCAAAAAGGGAACAATATAAGTGTTAAGATTTATTTATTTTATTTATATCCACGTGCTATTCGAGACGCGTTATATATTTTTTTCCTAAGAATGTGCTTTGGAATAGTAGGTTAGCCCTTGTTTGACATCCACTTTAGAGAAAAAATTGATTTGAAATAGTGATTGATGGAAAAATTTGTGGTTAAAAAGTAAGGAGAATTTTTGAGTTTATGTGTAATATTATTTTATTAATAGAATGTGTGGTTACAATGAAGAAAGAAAAAAATGAGAAAGAGAATAAGAAAAAAAATTGATGCTAAACAAGGGCTTAACAGAGAATGTGTGGTAGAAAAATAAGAAAAAGTTTTGAGTCAGCGTTTAATATTATTTTATTAAAAAATGTGTAAATGAAAAGAAGAGAAAAATATGTATTTTGAAAATAATGGAATCAAACTAGGGCTAGATAAACCTATCGCTTAATCATGCTATATGTACATCATGTTTTACAACAAGTTTGACACATATGAGTTGCGAAGTTTTTTTACATGGATTTTAACAATGCTTTTCCCAATCAATGGCTAGATTTTTGACGCATAAGCAAGATGTCAAAAATTGTGTAAACAACAAGTGTACAAGAAGCATAATTCATCGTTGAATTTAGTTGATTTGATATTGTTTTGACAAATATTTTGCTAAAATCTAATGAAATATATAATTGAAAAATCGATAAAAAGTTATCAATTTGATAAAATATACGATTAAGATTAATTATTGATTTCCACTTCAAACTTTTAAAATTTTGGAAGCTATCCTAAACTAACACATTCATCTTGAATGAGTAACATCCACATGGCACCATTTTTTGGCCAAGTCAACTTGTTAGCCCTTGTATGGTGGGGGAATAAAATGAGATTTTGAGTAAATTTCGATAAAAATTGATGAAATGTGTGGTTGAAAAGTTTTGGATTTCATGAAATATGTGATTAAAATTAATTGTTAACCTTGACTTAAATTAAAATTTAGATTTTAATTTTTATCAAGCATGGACTTTTGTCGATAGATAACATTTGGGTAATAATATTTATTATAACGATTATACCCAACATTTTAATTACATTGAAGATCCTTACTTTTGGTCATTGTTTTACTTATAGCTTTAATTTTTTTGCGCATTCTTATCATCAATATTCTGTTAATTAATACATTTCGTACCTAATAACAATTTTCATAAAATAAATTCATATAAAAGACTTATCCGTCCCTCATTTTTTTAAATAAGCAAAAAATTAACAAATTTAAAAGTTCGACAAAATATTAATCCACTCATTTCAAATTACGTTAACAGAATATTTGGATAAAAATTGTCCTCGAAGACAAAATGTGTTATTTTCTTTAAAATAAAATATATTATCAAGAAATTAAAATAAGTTAATTAAAATAAGTAGCAAGAAAAAAGAAAAGAAACAAACAGTGCCTTATACCATCATTAATGACGTAATAATAATCAGGTAGGGACAGAAATTTGAAATTTTAAAACAATAATAAGCTGAATCTGGACAAGTAATAAATCTTCTGGGGGTTTTCGTTTTACCGCGGCACATTACCCCAAAAATCTAGGGTTTGTCAATGTCTCGTCAATTTTACACCGTAATCTAAAATCGAAAGCCGATTTCTTCGATCTTTACCTGAACAATGCACTTGGATTTTCGATATCGTTTTTCAAGATTCACCCTACCTCACGATCTATACATACATTTCTCAGTATATCTAAGTATTATCATCGATTGCTTTAGCTGCTGAAAAATTCAATCGTTTGGCAACACTCGAGAAAGAAAGAGGAAAAGAATCTCCGATTATCCATGGCGAAGACTAGACCGGGCAAAAGAGACTTGGATTCTTACACCATAAGAGGCACGAACAAAGTCGTCAGAGGTATGCGCGTGTTTGCCACCTTCCCAGACCGACATTATACATATTATGCACACGCACATATGAACATGGTGAAACTGTGAAATAAATATTGATTCTTTTTAATAATAACGAGCTGACAAGACTGATTTTGGCTACATGCATGTTTTTGTATATATTTATTTTGTAATTTGTCAATGATGGATATTTTTCTTCCCACAGAGCTGAAATTTTGGGATTTGATTATACTGTAAAGACAAAGTAAAAAATGTGTGTCTAATTGAAACCTAAAATAAAATTGCTGGTTTGAATGTTGTTGACCGAGGAGTTTTAGGGACTGATGAAGATCCACGATTACACATATACATGCATACAACACTATTTTGTGAATTATGCATGCCGGTTCTTGGTCCCATAGCAAAAAAAAATTCTCGATATTCCTATTTTTTTATTGGGACATTTCTTTCTGGCCTCGTGCATTTCTATTTAAATTCAAATTTTCTATCTCTTGTGTGAACCCCAGCTATATTTTTCATTCTCATTCTACAATAATTTGGCTCAAACAGGGGCTTAACTGTTTTTTACTGTGCTAGGTGCATGAAATAGTGCCTTTTTTCTTTTTGCTTTTAAACGTTTTTCGTTTTATTTTAATGAAGGTTGCATCAAATGTTTGTATTTTTACTGTATCTCGAGTTATTGAATCCTGTTTTTTGATTGTATTGGATTTGAAGTTGGGGACTGTGTCTTGATGCGACCGTCAGAAAATGATTCAGCCCCATATGTGGCACGCGTGGAGAAGATTGAGGCTGATAACCGTAACAATGTGAAGGTTCGAGTAAGGTGGTATTATAGACCAGAGGAATCAGTTGGTGGTCGGAGACAGTTCCATGGAGCAAAGGAGTTATTTCTGTCTGACCACTTTGACACTCAAAGTGCTCACACCATCGAGGAAAAGTGCATTGTTCACACTTTCAAGAATTACACTAAGCTGGAGAATGTCGGGCCAGAGGATTACTATTGCCGTTTTGAGTATAAACCTACCACTGGAGCTTTCCTGCCAGATCGTGTCGCAGTGTGAGTGAAGTAATTATTATTTTGTCCTCGTGTTCTTTCTGTAACAGCTATGGTATTCAGAAGTTACTAAATGCTGCTCTTATGGTCACATGTTGAAAGGTATTGCAAATGCGAGATGCCATATAATCCAGATGATTTGATGATACAATGTGAGGAATGTAAAGACTGGTATGTAAATTGCTTCCTTTCTCTATAATGTTACCCACGTTCAAAATGTTGATGTATAAATAAAAGTTGTAGATTGACAAGTCAGAAACAAAGAACCCACATTTGATAGTCTTGAACATAAGGTGAACTTGTATTTCAATTATCAGTGTGTGATTCAGTATTTGGATATTTTGTGACAAATGAAGAGTGTATTTTCAATTGAGGCCTGTTCATATGTCTGGTTTCCTGGGAAGTTTGTTCATTTGTCTCAAAAATCTAAAGAATTGGGTTTGTTTGCATCTTCACCAACCAGTATAAAGTACATAAAGATTGTTATGTTGTCCTTTTTAGGATTTGTTTGGTTTATTGTTAAAAATGTGCAAGAGCACATCTCTATGTTGCCGCTGCTTTTGAAAGTTGTAGGGTTCTCTAAGTTGAAGTGTTATTCGTTGGTGTTTGTAGGTATCATCCTGCTTGTGTAGGTATGAATGCTGAACAAGCAAAGGAATTAGATCATTTTGTTTGTTCCGACTGTGCATCTGACATGGATGTGAAGAAGTCTCGTAACACTGCACTCCCAAATGGCAAGGTTAGTTTACATGAGAGCATATCTTGGTCATGGTTGCTGTAATTTGTTTGAGCTTATCTTGTTTAAATGGTTGTTACATGATTATGCCCTACATAGAGTATGTTACCTGATCACTGCGTGGATTGGTTTCTAATATAGCCTTTATAACGATTCTGGTGGGGAAATTATTTTGAGATACAGCAGTTAAGACCCCACTCCCACACCCTCCCTATGTCGTGAAGGGTAAAAAAAGAAATCCCTCAGCAGAAAACAATAAAAGAACATAACAGTCTTTCTAACATGTCATTATGAATGCGTTTAAACAGTGTTGAAATTTAACTGTACTATATATTTGTTTTTACTAATCTGGACCATTATTTTCTCGAGGAAGGGCGTTTTGTAAAGCACTTACACTGTAATTTGAGTCGTCTAATCCCTGAAAGCAGATGTCTAATTTATCCCTAAAAGGGAAGAAGGATGCAAAACAATTTCAAATTTGCACTCATTGTACCCTTTTCTTGAATGTGTATTTGTTATTAATTTTCTTGCAGAATGATGATTACTAGTTAATACACTTAATGGAATAGCAAGATGCATGTCATCATCAAAATTGTGGGATACAAAAAAATCACAATTACTGATGGCAAAATCTGTTGGTAACAGCATTTGTTTTCCGCTAATAACCTCGTTGACCAATGTTTGATCCTATATAAGCTTCTGTTGGTAAGTCTACCAAGGGTCAATTCCATTGGTAATTCTTCCGTCCTATAGTTGGAAATTTCGAGTATATTTTAATATTTTATCATTTACCTATGGATAAAATCATACATATATTGGGGGGCATTGAGAGCAATGATGCCGGTGACAGTGGTGGGAGACGGATTGAGGGCGAGAGAGTCAAAGGTGATGTTATAGGCAGAATGAAAGAGAAGAAGAGGATGGAAGGATCACAATAAGGGGATTGGAGAAGGTTTTTATTTTTACCTTAATTTTCAAACTATCAGCGGATTAGTATTACGAAAAGACAGAACGGCTTGGTTTCAATACTTTGTTTTACAGATATAAATTGTATCTTTTTGCATCAATGGTTTATCGGAAAATATAAAAAAAAGGTCTTTTCCTTGTTGCCATCTGATTTCGGAAACAACATAATTATGTAATTTATTGATGAAGTTTATCTCTTACTTAGTTTTCCTACCACTACTTATTGTCCTTGGTAATTCATTGGTGATATGTCATATTTGCAATGGTTTATACCGCATCAATAATTTTGTTACTTGATACGGTGGTACGAAGTGATTTTCTATTGGCTATTTGTGGGTTGAGGTGAGTGATATTGATGATGAGTAAATTTACAATTTCTAGCTCCTTTCTGTGTTAATATTCGCCCGATATGTATCTCAATGTTTGACTACTTTGTTTACTGCTCGTAATAGCCCTACCTGAATGCTTATTATGTCTGATTATCTAGTAGTTGATTACGTAAAAATTGCTCTTCTATCATATGAGTTATGTGGTAACTTTTCCTGATTATGGAAGTACAAACATTCTCATCTCTATGACCAGATAAATGAGTCTTGCTATTGTTACCACTTTTAGTACCCTGCATAATGTGCTATAAATTTATTATCGTCATTTGAGGTTTAGAGTCCATGGATGTATGAGGTGAGTAAACCTGATCCGCTGGATTTGATGGCTGTTGATTTTCTTTCACTTACAGTCTCGAGAGATTACGTGGTACCATTAACCTGGTTACCTACACTATCCATCGATTTTCATCACTGACAATTTTGGGACTTCATTTTGAATTTCCACTGTTCTAATACTATTATAAGTCTAGTCGAGAATTTGCAATGCATAGTGCATTCTAATTGAATTTTTCAATCTCCAGTCCATATGAGGTGTGAGCTTGTCCACAGTTCATTTATTTTTTGAAGTTTGTAGCCTTTAATCTTTATGAATCATTTCTAAGAATTGCATTTGTAGCATTTAGTTGTTCTTGCTTGGCCTTTTACGTAGCTATCATTCTAAGCCCCTGTTTGACAACCATTAAAACATAACTCTTTTTCTCAACACACATTTTCACAATAAAATATTCTACACGTAAACTTTCCTACTTTTTAACCACATGTTCTCCGGAAAATCACTATTCCAAAACTCTTTTTCTCAAAAAAAAAAAAAAAAGAAAAGAAAATCATTTTAATGTTTGTCACACGCCTGCGCATGGTTGCTCTCTTCTCTAACACTAACAATCTTATGTGCACAACATTGTAATAAGCTAGAATGTTACCTTGTGCAGGCCTGTAGTACATTGCGCAGATCAGATAGTTCTTTCCCGAGCTGTAGAACTTCTCTGATTCATCTTACAGCTGGCTATTTTCATGTATTTAATAGAAATTTCACGTCTAAGACTTCAAGACATTTGCCTTTGTGCATGTTCGATGAAATTCTTTGCTATTCCAGAATCTAGTACAAAGCCTGTTTCATTCTTTCTTTATGTGAAAGATGTTTATACTTTCTCATTTTTATCTGGGTTGTCCACCTTTGTGCATATATTCATCGCTCAAACAAAGCTTTGGACTTTTGCTGCAGGTCGAGCCTAAGCGTCAGAAGAGGTAGCTACGTCCATTGGAGTGCTGCGAAGCACGAAGGCCAGCATTCCTTGCAAGTTATATTACTCTTGTTGTGCTTTCCAGTTTTGTACAGTGCAGAGAATCGGTTCTCTGTTCAACTCTAGTGTTTATTAGTAATTGACTTTGTGATGAAACTGTAATATCTAGGAGATGACTTTGTAGTACATTTCTGTAGCTTTACTCTGAAAGCTTGTCTCGTTCGAAAAAAGAAAAAAAAAGGCATGACAATTTTGTTTGTTGTATAGTAATTACTATTTTATGTATAAATAAAAACTGCGAACAACTTTAATAGATGCTAAAAATAGAGAAGTAAAGTAATCTAACAAAAGAATTTACACTTCAAAACTAGTTAATTTAGTAGACTTAGAGAAAATATGTTCACAAAAAAACAAAGAAAACGTAAAAAAATTACTGGTGATTAACATAAATTTGTATAATTATTTCACCAATAAATGGAATATAAAGTTCGGGGACTAAATTAGAAAGAAAAAAATATTGGTGATCAAGTCGTATTATTACCATCTCGACTTTTGAATATAGTAACACCATCAAGAACAGTAACGGTTACTTCCTGAATTTTTTTTTTCTCTTTTGCAAAAAGCCAGGAATAATAACTTTATTCACTCTAACAATGTTGTTACTTTTGCATGGTTTATGATTAATTAACTGCAGCTATTCTGCACAACATTTCCATATAAACTAAAGCTTTGAAACCTATTTTCTTCTCTCCATTTTCAATCATGACAGAAGATCAGATATATATATTAAGTTTGCATAGGGTATTTCCTGTCCTCTTTGCTGTTTTTTTATTGCGTGCATCGCAGACGAATCCGATTGACGAGATATATATTTGGTTTTACTGGAAAGTGAACCGGTTGCATACCATCAAGATGCACTACATGCAAATGAAAGGAAATATGCCCGTTCTAATCAGGTGATTGAGAAAAAGAAATGAATTTTTCTTTTCATTTTACCTGAAATATTATAAGAATTTGCCATTTTACACAGATCCTGGACTCAAGTCTAGCTGTTGATGTTTTATGAAAATTCTGCACTGTCTCATGCATTTGGTGAAAGATGTATCTGGAGACCTGTTGAAGATTAACATAAAATAAATAAATGTGTCGATTTTTTAATCGCTTGAAGACAAGATTAACATAAATTCCCGCTATCAACTTCTGGAAAGCACTCTACAGACAGGAAGCTAGAACAAGCTTTACAGCTTTAAACATATTGTTAATGGATTCGATGTCCACATTTCCCATTCTCAGGTTTATCTCTGAATCATATATGTAATCCCATAATCTTTACATTGTCTGATAATTTTTTTTCACTCATGACTTTTATTCTTTTAATAATAATAATGAAATAGGATAGAACTTTAGGTCGAAAAATTAATGAATGCTCCTGGGGTGAAGCTAGTAGAAAAAGACAGTAGAGTCAAATTGATGACAAGTCACATGTACCCCACAATTCTTAGGGTCACCAGAAGTTTGGACACAGAAAGGAGATAGAAATGCGGGTGAAGGAATTGTGATTGGTCTTGCGGATTCAGGCATAAACCCTATGCACCCCAGTTTTGCTTATGATCCTCTAATCCTTTCGCTTTCAAATATTTTTCATTTTTCTGGAACTTGTGAGCGGGGGCCACTATTTCCCAGTAACTCCTGCAATGGTAAAATAATTTCTAGGTTCTTTGCGGCCGGAGAGCAGGCCACTGCCACCCTTAATGCTTCATTAGACATCCTATCAGCCTTTGATGCAGTTGGACATGACACAGTGTTTTAAAAAGCGTAAAACGTGGAGGTGATATTTCAAGTTTTACGAGTTTAAGTGAGCCTAGACAAAGTCTAGGCATAGAAGTGGACAAAATGACCAAACCAAACCAATCCGAGCGGTTCGGTTCGGTTCTATAAAAAGAATTAATGGTTTTGATTTTTAGAACTTAGACCCATTTGGTTTTGATTTGGTTCTATTCTAGTTCTAGAACCAAACTCAATATTTAAATTTTATAATTTTATATATTACGAATTAGTGAATCACAATTCACACCTAAATCTGAACAAAAAGGTCATGTTCATTCGATTTTTTATTTCTCAATGTTGAAACTGGAGACCCTAATTTATTTTGAAAACCCAAACCTTAGTCATTTTTCATTTTCTCACGCGAAGACTAAAAACTCCCGTCTATTGTCCACCGTCGCCCTCAGTCACCATCGTTGCATGGATTTTTGAAATTGAAGCCTCAACCTTTGGTTATTCTTCCTCAAATAATCTCTTTTTTCTCCTTAATTAGTAATGAAATTAGAACCAAATCAAATCAAACCAGAACCAATGGTTCGGTTCCATGTCTTAAAAAAAAATCATTGGTTCATGATTCGGTTCAGTTCAGTTCGATTCACATGAAACCCGAACCAAATGGAACTATGTCCATCCCTAATAAAAAAACATTTTCCTATTTTTAATATTATTTTAAATTTTTAATTATTTTAAAAATCATTTAATAATTAAAATAATACTTGTCAAACATATAAAATTATAAAATACTATATTTACTCAATAATTTTTACAATTAGTGAATTGTAAAATTTTCAAGTTTTCAAAATACAAACCGGACTATTTTTCAAACATATAAAATTATAAAATACTATATTTACTTAATAATTTCTACAATTAGTCAATTGTAAAATTTTCAAGTTTTCAAAATACAAACTAGATTATTTTTCATAGTTTCAATTTTCAACTAGACAAGTCGTAGATTTATAAGAACTTCATACATGTTTTTGAGGTTTTTAACAAAATAACGAGTAATTACATAATGTAGATAGCAGTATAGTTTAAATCTTATTTAACTATCTATCGAATAAGGTCATTTTTAACTTTTGTAAAGATAAAATCTTTTAAAAACTTGAAATTAAAATCAAATGAAAAGTTTTTTAGAAAGTAAAAAATTAATAAACTAAAGTCAAATAAAATACTTTTAAAAAATAAAAAATAATAATAAAACACGTTTAGGGAAGACAAAAGAGATGAAGGAAAAAATTCGGTCATTTAGGAATTGACAAAAAAAGGCCTAGGCGTGTAGCAAGGTATTTTGCCCAAGCTTCGAGCATAGGCGGTGTTTCGGCGTCGCTTTAGCGAGTTTTTTAGAACACTAGGTAAAATTGATCTTGCTTATTTTCCGGGGAGTGGGTTTTTTATTATTATATGTTTTAATTTTTGGTATGATGTACTAGGCAATACTAGACATGATTAAGAAGAAGAAGTTAAAAATATGTAGTTAGTGTAGTATTGTTCATTATTTTGTACCAAACATGCTCTTAGTATCTTTGTTCGTGCTCTCAAGCCGAGGGGCGGTTTAGCTTCTAGATTATTGAAAATTTTTATTTTGCAGTCATGTGGCTTCAACTGCTGCTGGAAATTATGGAGTTCCTAATTGCATGTGGTGGATGGTTTCAGATTATATGGTCGAGCCAGTGGAATGGCGCCACTTGCACGGTCTAATACTTAATCTCATTTATCACCTAAAATGAACGAATCCTAACATTGTTACTGGGAGTTATTTTGTATAAATGAAAGAGGAAAAAATGGAGAATTCCACGTAAAATCTTTTCACCTCAGCGGTGCTCCTAGGAATAGTTTTTTACTTTTTCTAACAGGATTGCAGTTTATAGAGCTGTTTATCCGACCATTGGAGCTCTAACAGATGCGTTAGCAGCAATTGATCTTATACATGACATGCATATAAAGGCTAATCTATAGTCCATATACCATTGGAACATAAAATATGAAATTCAAATTTTGTTTTGGGGTCTCTTCACTCTCCTGCTGGCAGTGTTAGATTGGAGTGGATACTTTAACTCGTCATCTGACCCCGATTCACCAACGAAAGATGCTCTTACATTCTTAGGCATGTATGAAATTTTCATGTTGTCTGCACACAGTGCTGGAGTTTTTGTTGTTCAGGCTGTTAGCAACCAGGGTCCCAGTCATTAAACCGTCGCGTCTTACAGCCCTCTGGCTGTTAGCGTTGCAGCTTGAGGGACAGACAGAAGTTACCCCAGTACTCTTGGTGACAGTCAAAAAGTTGGCCGGTGTAGGATTATCAGGTAACATTTAGTTCCAGTCCAATAGACGGCTGTTAATTTTTGCATAATTAGTCTCAAACCAAGTGTGTCATCCTGTTCGTTCAATGTCTGGGATTGTGCACATAGTATACACTGTACTGCCCGAGAGTGTAGAAACTAAGACCATGAGTACTGGCCCTGTTGAACCATAAGATGTACAATTATAGTGTTCACTCATCCCCTCAGTATAAACACCAAGACCACCATTGTGACATAGGCTGAGAGAAAATATCTAGTGTAATCTTCTCTGCAACAGGATGAGCCTTAAATCTGGGTATTATTTTATTTTATTTTATTTTGTTTTGCTTAGTATTCCTCTTGCAATCGAAATTAGGCTTAATCCCTAATAGGTTCGGCCAAGACTTACCCGCATATTACTTGATAATGTTGTTCATCAGATTAAAGTTTTGGCATGGGATCACTTGAATATAAGTTGGTGCTGGCTAAGGATGCTATTAAGGTAAATGGGACATTTACTAGGACTCCACAGGATATAGAGGAATACCAGTATCCGGAGGCGCTAGACTCTGTACTTCGAAGCAGTGTGGTTATTTGTACTTCCTCTGCTGGCTTCTACAATGGAACTTCAACTCTCACGGCCATTATATAGACAGCAATGGCTCTTGAATTTATGGGGTTCGTCCTTGTTGCAAATCCAATTAATGGAGACTTCATAGCCGAACCTATTCCCTTTTCTGTTCCTGGCATAATGATCCCGGAAACTAGTGCAAAAGTATTTATCTTCCCAATGTGCGTCTTAAAAGACTTGCGTGAATTGACAAGATCTGATAAATGATGATCTGTTTTTATGACTTTCGTAGAACATAGAACAATATTAGGAGCAGCAAACTTGCAGGGATGATCGAGGAGTTGTAATAAGATATAGTGGCACGGCAGCCATTAGCGAGTGAGTAATTGCTTCTTACATGGAGCGAGCGCCTATTCTTAGCAGATTCTCTTCAAGGTGGCCTGATTATAGTGACCATAGGAGGAATCCTGCTGATGTGCTTAAGCATGACATTTTGGCACCGGGGCACCAAATTTGGGCAGCTTGGAGTCCCATGAATGTTCTGAATCCCATCCTATCTGGTACAACATCAGATATTTGTTGATTTTCATGCTCTTTCATGGTATGATATTTTAATGTTTGCAAATGCTTCGAAAAAAAAGTTTAGACCCAAAGATGATCAATTTGAGGATACAATTTCGCTCTAACACCTGGAACCAGCATGGCAATGCCTCACATTGCAAGGATAGCTGCTCTTATCAAGCAAAATAATCCGTTGTGGACACCCTCGATTATTGCTTCAGCAATGTCAACAATCGCTGCCAAGTGCCAAACACGACAATATAGGAAAACCCATAATGGCGGAAGGCTTCACCGCCTACAGCTTATATCCTGCCGCCCCTTTTGGGGTCGGTGCTGGCCTTGTTGATCCAATCCGTGCCTTGGACCCAGGACCCATCTTTTCTTCAGGTAAGGTCCTGCAACATAACTATGCTTTGATTGTCGTAGGAGGTCTAACCTCACTTACGGTGCAGGATATGAAGACTACCTCAGTTTCTTGTGCTCTCTTCAAAATTCTGATCCAACAAAAATCAGAATTGCCATGGGAGGATCATGTGCTGCAACTTTTATCAATCCGGCTGACCTGAATCTGCCTTCGGTGACAATATCTGTGCCATCTGGTTCACGGTCGGTACACAGGATTGTCAAGAATGTATCAAACAAACCATAGACTTATCTATGTGCAGTGCTCCAACCAAAGGGAGTGATCCACCGTGGTTCACTATAGCTCTGTTACAATCTTTTGGATAGAACTCACTCACAAAATCTAGCTATCAAGGGAAGGGTGCCCAAGAGGTCGAACTGGCTTTGCACTAGCCCATGGTTAGTCCCGGACGAACAATGCTAATGGGGCTTGTCCTACATAGAAAATATGGGCTTTGGGTGTGTGATTTATAACTCCTTGGGCACCCTCCCCTTGATAGCTAGCTTTTGAGGGTGAGTTCTACTCAAAATGTTGTAACAATGGTATCAGAGCAGGCATTGCATCTCCTGGTTACAATCGAGCGGCGCGGATGATGATGCCGACATAGCAGTGTTTGTCCGGACTAGCCATGGGCTAGTGCAAAGCCAGTCCGACGTGGGCGAGGGGATCACGAAGCGTGGTGGTTTGTTATGGTTCCCATTGTAAGTTATGGGGTTTATCCCACATCGAAAGTATGAGCTTTTGGCGTGTGATTTATAACCCCTTGGGCACCCTCCCCTTGATATCTAGCTTTTGATTCTACTCAAGAGGTTGTAACAAGCGCTAGAAGGAAACCAGAATTTGGAAATTGCACTAACTGTATTCAGTTTCGGTGAAATTGTTCTGACAGGTAATCTAAATCCCATTGTGAGGATGCCCGTCAGTTATGCCTATTTCATTGTAATTTGGATAAGGGATTTCCTTTATCGAGCCAACTAGGATGCCAGGAGGGGTAGGGGGAATAGACAAGATGTTGAATACAATATAATGAAGCTTCTATACAAGAAAGGCGCATATATCTGAAATATACATAATAATGAATTGGTACTTGAGAACTGGAGGTTATATTGGATTAATGGCCAATTTGATGGGCAGTCGAAGTACCATGTTTAATTAACTTGACTTGTGGTTAGTCGTGTCAAAGCGGCCGTGGTTCAGCGAAATCGTGACAGTGTTGACAGTACAGAAATCCACTGTAGACTTGCAACTTGCAAGGCCAAGGGAAAATTCAGGGGCACATGAAATTCTAATTATATGTTAATTCAATCAGTGAAAGTAAAAAGGAGCCTTTAACATGTCAAAGGAGGAAAATCAAGAATAAATGAATGTAAGTTACATATAATTGGAGATTGAATAGAATGCAATGACTAAATCTACAATCACAAGTGCTAAAAATATAGATCAGATTCTATCCCTGCAAGAATTCTTCCATATTACACATACAAGCCAAACACCGAGGATATCTGTATACACTCCTTCCAACCGGACGTGAAAATACTCGTTTGTTTTGTCTGACGGCCTTCCTCACTCTCTGTTCAAACACCTTCCACTCTATTGTGTTGTTTTTCACAAAAATGTCAGCAAGTCGGCGTTTGTTTGGCCGTATTGTTGGCATTCTTCCCCCACCATAATAGATTCGATAACCAGCTACCAAAGAAGAAAATTGACTTCCTGAGTCTGTCATGGCAAATACATCAGCAGCCGTGCAGACTATGAAGTCCAATGCCGCCAGCTGCAATAAGAATTCGGCTTACAAAGTCATTCACCAAACCCCTCATGCCACTATCTAGAATCAGCTCATCATTCACATTACGAATAATGACAGCAAAACTTATTTAAGCCAGAAATATGTTGTAATTACGAACTCGTCAAGGTCATAGCAAAACATTGAAGTGATCTTCAATGAAGAGATAATGGCATAGCTTACCTGAGATGAGAAATTTGCGAATGGTTGAATTTCAGTCGGAGAGAGCAAGTTCTCTTTGGTGACTAAATTAGGAAACAAGGTAGTTAAGGCAGCCAATCTAGACTTTCCTCCATAAATATGAGCTCCCGCTAGGAATATATGGCTCTGGCGATTGAAACCAAGGGCGGCCAGCATAAGAACAGTCTCCTCAGGCATCAATGGACACAGTCCTTCAGATCTGAGTTCTGCCGGGGAAGGCAACCTACAAAATTTTCATTGCTTAAAAAGGGAAGAACATTGACAGAAATTAATCCTTACACTACAGCTATGCAATCCAAGTCAACAAGATTACATTTGCTAGTATCTATCGTCCTCTATCATTGTGTTAATTGGATCTTGGAAAATTATTCTACAAAAACTTAGAAATGGCAGAAATGTCCACATTCCAAAATGCATTACCATCTCCATCAGGTTCAACCATATCCAAGTACCAACAAAGATATGTATACAACAAACTCAAGCCCAAGTTAGCACAGAGTTCTAAAAAGGTCTATGAAAACTCAGAAGATACTGTAGATTCATACTTTTTCATCTTCATTAGCTCCATTAATGCAGGAAAATGGATTGCACGATAAGCCTCCAATTCCCGCCTTTCTTCTTCACCTCCACCATATTCACACAAAGAATGAGCCACCATGTCAATTTCAAACCTTAGATGTAATGCAAAGTATCTGGATTTCTTAGCAGCACGGTCTTTTTGACCTTTCACCTCTGATTTTGCAAATGGGCCAACAAGATAATGGTCTAAATGCCCCAACCCCGTATCATTTTGACGCATCCTTTGGATAAGTAAACTGCCAGCTTCTTGAATTTTGGGAACAAATTTCAGTGAATGAAAATTGCATCTGCATCGAAGTCTCTAGATGAAATTTTTTAATTAGGAAGCAATGCAGAGAGAAACATCAAGGGAAATGAACTAAATAATGAGAAGTTTGATTAATTCAAAATGAAGTCATTCTCATAGCTGGTAACAACTGATATGTCAAAAATGGTTATGAATACCTGCAATTGAGAAGGTACTGGATCAGATGCCAATCGGTTCCCAAATCCAACAAAATGAACTACCCTGTTCAGATGTAGAATGGGAAGGATGTGCTTCAAGTAAAAACTTGGCTTAGCCTCCTTCACAACATCAATATCTGTAACCTGAATAGATTAATTTGACAATTACAGTACGTCACTGAACAGTCTACACCAAAAGCTATTATCTAGAATAGAGTGAGACAAGTATCTCACCACACTACCAATTGCCTCTAGATCTAATGACTGTAATTCCTTGGGGAGTTCCTTCACTATGCGAATATCAGGCCTCAAGTAGTTGATGAAATGCTCCTCCTGATAAATATCGTCGAACTGACTAAGAAAACATAGAATTTGACTGTTAATCTTCCACTTAAAGAACACGTTCAATATTACAATCATGCTACAAATTTGATAGAAAACACATGGCGGGAATTGATTAGAAGATGGAAAGAGAAAAAAAAAATCCAATAATTTGCGACTACATTTGTGTCGGTAGGAATTCTATCAAGAATTCCCTGCACTCATGGCTTTTTCCTCCATATTAAAGATCACATACAGTGACGCATATTTTAAGAATCCCCAACACAAGAACAATGAAGATATAAAACGCCATTGTGGAATTTGTAACAAAATTTTCAAGTTAGAGATATAACCATAAAGGTTTTGCTGAAATGGTTAGAAAAGCATGAGATTCATCCTCTTTATCCCCACTTCTCAGCCATATCAAACTTCTTTCCTCTCTTTCAGCGCCGATACTTCAGCATAAAATCCTCCTCAATACTTTGGTAAGCTATCACAAAATCCATAATCACATGCTCCCAGATTGACCGTAGAATAAGGAGTAGTTGTAAAACATTACTGATTCATGGTCTGGCACACTAAAGACTTGGCTAAGTACGTCCACCTTGGGTCTTAAACATTATTGTTTTTCTCTGCTCTGTATGTGCATAGAGTATTGGTAGGTTGTAGTAGGTTGATAACCAGTATGATCTTTGATGCACCTATCACATAAATCCTTCTAACCATTCTATTAGTGCATCCCCCTTGGTCCTTAAACATTATTGGTTTTCTCTGCTCTGTATGTGCATAGAGTATTGGTAGGTTGTAGTACGTTGATAACCAGTATGATCTTTGATGCACCTATCACATAAATCCTTCTAACCATTCTATTAGTGCATCCCCCACTAGCAACATGTTGCATTAGACCGTAGGTGTATTATAAAGGGAGCTAGGGTTACTTACGGCACAGTCCTAAGTAATGCGGCATATTGACATCCAAATATATTGAGAGGTACGTTACAGTTGACGAAGTCAAGAAGTTAGTACGGGATGAGTGGGAAATTTGAGCGTAGAGGCACTTACATGAAAATCTATAACTAATAGATGTAACATGTAGGAGGAAAGTCAATGCCACTTGCGTACAAGAGGTGAAAGGAGTTGGAGAGAAGGCAAAGAATTAGAGAAGCACTTATAAACTTTTGTACATAGGTAAAGAAAAGAGTAGATACATCTGGTTTAAAATGTCAACAAGATCACAGGCAGCATCAAGGAAGTTGCTATACTACGGTGTCAAATGGGCTGTGCCATCCCCACAATATTGAGTCCCATGACACGGGCCTATCATCCCAACAAATAGGTTGACTAGCACATAGGCCGACTGAAAGAAGATCTATGCAAATTTTACAAATATTAAGAAAAGCTTTCTATTAAGATTTTACAGTAAAAATTATTTTTATAGAAAAATACCATGGGCATTTCGGAATATTGGTCCTGCAGTGCCTGCCATTTTTCTTGGATTGTGCCTATATGATGTGTAGGATAGGCCATTTAGGGATTAAATGGCCTAACCACTTTACCCTCCTAGTTAAGACATATGTGAGTTCATAGAAGAATGAATAAATTAGAAATGAGGATTTATGTAACTAATTGAGGATAAATAAGAGATCCATCACTTAGATGGTAGGGACATGTTTTTTCTTTTTAAACATCAGAAGCTTCTTCCACAAGAACATGCAATCTCATTTGAGTGCAAAGCTGAAGAGTAGACCAAAACCAACATGATGCTAGAACAGTTGCAAAAGATAAAAAATTTCATTGAGCCTTCAGTAGATATAGCACAGGACAGAACAAAGTCCTGGAAACGTATTCAGGTAGCCGAACCCCCAAATTTATTTAGAATAAGACTAACTTCTTCTTTCTATTCAATCTTATTGGGTATTCAGAAGTCAGAACTATTGAACACTCCCTGAGTAAGACTATTCTATTCCCTAGCAAAATTCCCCCACCATGCAATCCGTCTCTATCCAAGCTCCCCTCACCCACAAACCCTAACTGGTCACTGCCAATCAGGACCATCCCCAAATGTCCCTTTCCTTAATATCACCAAGCCACCCATCGCCAATATCCCATCTCTCACCCTCTGAGTAAAAATTATCCCCACTCTCAAACTTACTCCAACACCCCACCTAGTACAAACTCTTGCCACCAACGTGAAGTAACCATCCTCCTGGCCCTATCAAGTTGCAACAATACTACCAGCCTTAGCCTTATTCTCCATCTCCCAGAGTTCAACAGTAGATACTCTGTGACAACAATTTTCTGGTAATGATAATTCCATGATTGGAGGGGTCAGTCAGGGTGGAAATATTAATTGAAACCTACCAGAAAAGATCACATCAAATTTAGTGAATTGAGAGGATTTTTGCAATATTTTCCCAGTTTACATCTGTATTACACCTAGATGAATCATAATGGAGAAGAGATTAAGTAAACTATTGACATCATATTGACCATAAGCAAGTTTAAGAGGGCCTGCATTTCAACAATTTCATTAACATATGTAGATGCTCATCAAAAACATGTAATTATTTTAATTTGACCTGAAGAATTAAGAGCACGCAACAAATGAAAAACACAGTAAAACCCTATATATATATATATATATATAAAACCCCCTGTTAGAAAATTATTGAGAGCAATTACCCAAGGCTCAAGCCCACTCCACCATGCCCAAGTAAGGTTCCATCCCAAAACCAATTGGTAATGGGTGGAGTAGCCCATTTGGATTATATGGTGGATTTATTTTTTTCTTTAAGAGCAATTACCCAAGGTCCAAGCCCACACCACCAGGCCCAAGTGAGGCTCCATCCCAAAACCAATTGGTAATGGGTGGAGTAACCCACTTACGTTATATGGTGGATTTATTTTCTTCCCACAACCGATGTGGGACTTGTTTGCCCCAACACCCCCCATTTTGTATCAAATAAAGTAGTATTTCACCTAGTATCTGTCCAAACAGTGCTGTACATAAATTTGGGAAGAACAAGTGTTGCATTAAGTAATCTAGCCACAGCAACAGCATTGCAGACCTGTTGTCAACGGCAAAATGATATATTAGCAGATAGAATATGGTTCAAGGTGAGACAAAAAAACACCAAAGGAAGAATTTAATTATACCATAAAGATTGGAAAAGTGTGAAAAAATGAGCAGGAATTTAAACATTGACACAACTTACAGCAACTCGCTGCTGATTTATTCCACCATTCGCAGTGACCATTATGTAACCATTTTTGCCCTCTGAAAATGGTAACAGAACATCAGGTAAGTAATGGATTGAGTCTAGACTTGACGGGTGCAAGTACAAACGGGCACACATATAAAGAGAGAGAGAGACCACTAGGTTCCCAGTCACGCATATGGGCACAAGGTGTCCAGGAAGAGGCACGGACATAGGGTTCCATCCACAAGTCTTTTGGCTCGGGTTTGTTCTGCCCCTGAAGTGCATTAGGATCAAATTAAGAAATCAAATAGCACAAATATATCCAAAAATGATTTAGTTCTCAACAAACAAGAAATAACCAAAACAACATTTCTAAATGTAAGCACACCTCAGCCAACGCATGAGCAGCCTTAGCCAACAGCCTTGCATAAATAGTTTTTCGGGGTTTCTTTCCTCTACCAAGCTTTTGCAGTTCTTCCTACATCCATCATAAAGAATTGACTTGGTGAGTTCTTTTGCGCAGTGTCTTAAAAATGGTAAGAAATAAAAAATCTGCCACTTCCTTTCTCCCTTGAAATTAGCAAACATTCTCAAAAGATGCCTTTCATAAGCTGACATGATCCATGTCCAGAGTAAATGGTAAGAAAGGGTTAACTACACAAGGGAATTGACTTGTCGACATTTCTCACACTAGATAAATCGAGGGGATTAATTAATGCAGTGTTTCTAACCATCTAACTCCAGAGAATAAGATTCAGATTAATCACTCTGGTGTCTAGATAACAATCGCATGTTTTAGTATCTGGCTCAATCAAGTTTGGTCCTAGACTGTCAGAAAATTATTCCAACTTACCCCATGGATTTACTTACCCTTCCTCCTGAGTACAATCTCAAGTTGTTCCTATGAACTTTAGCTAAATCAGGATGCACTGTGCGTAGGCAGGTCGTAATTCGCTCATAGACTATTTAACTCATACTTAGAAATTCACGGGATTTCACAATTTAGAACCCGTTGATATTGATAATAAGCAATAATGCTTTCCAGATTTGCAACTAATATTTAAATACTCCTTCGTGACTACATATCACTTGTCCTAGTATCCTATAGCTATACAAAATTGTTCATGATCTCTTTCAAAATTGAAATTCTTATTTACTCGTAAAACCAGCTTCCAGGATTAACTTATTCGTTATTTCTATAAGAGGTTCTGTCTTTGATTCTTGCGAAATGCGTCGCCTATACACCAGCAAACAATTTCAACCAATAAAATAAGATGATCAGGAGAAGAAGAAAAAACTCATAACATACCCGAATGGAAACAGTGGAAGAATTAGCTTTCAAGAACCTGAGCTTAAAACCGCCTCTGCTCCGACCCGAGTCTTGAATAGAAGATAGCATCAACCAGTTTATCAAGAAAAACGACCCTATAAACAAAGCCAATCCTATCGTCACTTTTTTCTGATACCATGCCTTTCTTTTACCTCTGCTCGATCTTCTTGGATCAAAAAACAACCCACTGAGCCACCCATTCAACAACGACGTTGAGGAAACATGCTTCCCGGATCCGTGCGAGAACCAGGTCGGATGTCCCGTCCCGAACGAATTTCTTGGCGAAGATGAGCTATGTCGAGCAGGGCTTGTCGATCTCGGCAGATTTTTGTCCATCCGGACCGGGACCCGGGAGCCTGGCGGGTGTTCTTCATCGTCTTCTTCGGATGTATTATCAACTTTCATGATTTCTAAGAAATTGGAGTGGCTCTCGGACATGATAATTTGGTTTGAATCTTTTAATAATGTTTTTGAAATTCGACGATATTAAAGTATACAGTTTTTCTTGCTTTTAGAACAAGGAAATCGGAATCATTGGGAGGGGAAGCGGCGTTGAATGAATTTGATGAACGGAATGAGAGATTCCAGGGGGTGAGAAACGTTGTTGAATGCTAAATCTGGAGACCCCATTTGTTGTAAGAAAATGTATACATTTTTCTTTTAAAATTCTTGCACATTGTGAGAAAACAAGGGATGAATATCATTGGAGACCTAAGAATTTATCTCATATTTGATTGCAACGAATTCGGAAAAATGTCACATTGGAGAAAAATGAATTTCACTTTGACAATTTGATTGCAACGTGAAAATGAAAATCGAATTACAAGGCACAATCACTCTAAATTGCATTTTTTTTATTTTCATGAAAAACGAATTCATATGAGTTTTGTGGATTTTTATTTTCTAACTAACGTGGAATTTGAATTTCTTTTCATATTTGCCTATCAAACGGGCCCTTAGAGTATGATGAATAGTTGATCAAATTTAGAGCACAATAACAAATTAACAGATTATTTGATAAAGTTTGTGATAAAAATTCTAACGAATTTAATAAATGTTGATGTAATGTATGATTGAAAAGTTGATAGTTCACACGCATGAAAATATTGAGGATGTCGACTCTGAGATTCATAAGAGCTAACGCGGTGTCATGGACATATAACATGCCACCTATGATATGCGTGAGAGATCGATCAATGTATCTATTCAATCATCAAATTTTTACCAAAGGGTTTATGTATCTCCATTGGCCAAGTCATCGCACCAATCATGGGATAACTAAGGATTGGTTAGTTCTCGGAGGAATTAAGCTAGTTTGCCCGAATTGATTTGCCCACTTGGTTGACCTAATCTTACATGAGTGTGGGATCGACGTGGGACCCGCATGAAATAAAATATGAACAAAAATGCTTCCCTCCCCCCGACGTGTGTGTTCGTCAGGGTGTGTGACACCCTCCCGGCACTGCAGCTCAGTTCGTTTTCGGAGAAGGTACCTAGTGGGCTAGTCCTAATCAACTTCTACTACTACTACTATTACTACTACCACCTCCACTCACCTTAATCCTTATCCAATAACATATCTAATCTTTTCATAATTATATTAGAATTCTAGGTTGAACATGCTTATTTTCTCTAATTTATTACGTTCATAGCTTCGAGAAGCATTGCCCATGATTTGCCTTGGTGGTTATTAGCTTGGACATTCAACCGACCTCGCTTTACCCAGTTACAATTTTTGGTAGCACCAATTGTAGTATGTGAAAACTCACTATCAAAAGTCATTGTAAACTCACTTTTTGGTAACACGATTGCATCTGATGCAATGCAATCTTTTTGCTCCCAAATCAAGAAGCCCTTTTGGCGGCTTAGCAAGCTCCTCCTGCAACAAGCTCATCTGGTCCTTCTTTTCTTCAACTGTAGCTGATAACTTGGGAAGCATTTCAATAGTTTGGGCAACAACCAAACAAGTCGCAATCATTTTGAAACAACAATACGCCAATAAACCAAATGTCGAGAATGCGTGTGCTAAGAATATAGATTAGGGAGAAAAGTTGTTGCGTTTTTTATATGACAAGTGTACGATATTGTAACAAAAAGTATAGTGGATATTTGAGTTCGAATATCGTTCCTACGAGGACTAAACTTCAGAACTTAATCTAATTTTTTTAACTCCTATTTGATAAGCACAAGTAAAGAATTATGATAATTGTAATAATAATTATTTTTTTAACTACTTGAAAATATCAAATTTTGTAAACAACGGTTAATTGAAGATTCAAATATAGGATAAAAATCAGGATATAACATTTTTCATCAATCGGTCGAATTCTTCTATTGTATTCAATTTATCCATCTCGAGTTCTTATTGAGCCTATTTAACTAATTAAATTTCATATCTCTATGTGAATCAGCCCCTAGTTAAACGAAATACTAGTTCTAAGAATTCATATTATGATCGCAATAATTAGTATATGTATCTCTACATGTTATACTAATTTACCGAATTTTACTATTTGGTCTAAATCTGTCACCCACCTCTCGATTCGTAAGAGACTCACATAATTATCAAATTAGTGATCAATTAATGCAATGCATTAAATTCAAAATAAAACAAACATATATATGAATAAATCACATAAATCTTGAATAGAAGATTATAAAATCACAAGTCGACTACATTATTTGTCATAATATGAAAATTAGTTACTCAAATTTGAAAATAAACACACACAAAAATTGTACTTGAATACATCATCGGATTATTAGAATAAATTCTCCTTGCAGCCGCGTTTTCTGGTATATATATTCGTCCCCTTGAAGCCACGTTCATGTATAAATATACGTTTCAACTAAATTTGACGAATGTGAATAATCCCTAAATTTCTTGCATAATTATTGATGAATTATTGTACACACATTTGGAATTAACTCTTTCTCCTTGCGTGTCCGTCCGCTTTCTGTGCATATATATCTTTTCTCTTTAATTCTAGCAGTAACCAAATTTGACTTAAAAAAAAAACCAATTTCTTTCTCTTCATTTTCTCCCGTCCGTGTGTATGTGTATCTCCCAAGCCACACTTCTTCACTCCAATTTTCTTCTCCACTTTTTTCTTTTTCTTCCTCGTCTCTTCTTCCGTTTTTGTTTCTTCTTTGTGTACTAGTCATCTACCCATGCTATGCATGGGCTTTGTCATTTTTAAGGTAATATTAGCGTGCTTGCAAAATAGATTTATACCTCATTTTTTCTTTGGTTACTTTTTTTTAAACATTCAACGCATAAAATAGCACTATTTCATCTATTGGCTTATCCAAAATTTAGAATTACCCAAAAAATAATGAGAGGACAGGATTGTGCGTGTCGTATATGTATTTACAGAAAACTTTTGGAATGAAAAAAGTAAAGAAAACATTGTAAAAGTAATCCAATTTCATTAAATCAACATCACCAAATATGTTCCATGAATTTCCATTCATTAAACAAATAATATGAACATTTTTCTTAATATGCAAAAGCCCGATCCCGCAATAAAAATAAAAATAAAAATAGAACACATATAATAATAAAAAAAAAATAGAAGGCTCAGATGCGCATTTTTTTCGTCCGTGTATGAGACGTTCGTGGAGACCCCCCGTCACCACATGAGCAAGCGCAAGACAAATCATCACTGCACTTCTATCACATAATGCGCCAGCTGGGAATCGAACCCTGGTCTTAACAGCGGCAGAGTATTAAACTTCCACTGGACCGCTGATGCTACCATGAGGAGTTTCTTAACATTTATTTAATATACCATATCATCATTAAGGTTCTCTTCTTCTACCACTAGTCATCTGCCCATGCTTTGCCATTTTTAAGGTAATATTAGCGTGTCTGTAAAATAGATTTATACCTCCTTTTTACTTTGGTGACTTTTTTTTTAAACATTCGATGCATAAAATATCACTATTTCATCTATTGGTTTATCCAAAATTCAGAATTACCCAAAAAATAATGAGAGGATAGGATCGTGCGTGGCATATTCATTGCATACAAGACTATTTTTACTAACTAAACAATTTGAAGAAGCTAATTAGATGTACTTGTCTCGTCCATGATCATTGTAAGCCACCAATCGATGGAACCCCATATAATATAAGGAATGCATAGACTTTATACTTATAAATGAGTATATATTTACTCACACAGGTTAATGGAACCATTTTTTCATGAAATTTATGCTTAGACTATTGAATCTCCCTTTTGAATAATGTCGAGAAGCCTTCTCCACCATTTTCATTGTAGCAACAAATTCATCATAATTGATTCTTCCATCTTCCATTCATATGTGAACCCTCAAGCTCACATCATTGGAATACTCTATTGTCGATTAAACAAAAAAATGAAAAAAAAAATATTGTAAATAAAAACAAGTGTTCGTATGTCTCAGTAGTGCGAGGCAAGCTGTAGACTCACAACTTCAATAAGCATTTGTACTTCAGACTTTGTTAACTGTGAATTGAAATTTTGTAATCCAACCTTCAACTCTCCAGTTGAAATAATACAATCGTTGTCACTGTCTATCTTAGCAAACATCTGTTTTATGTCTTCGAGTTCTTTGTTGGGGAAGAAATCAACAATTACCTAATCATAGAAGCACAAGCTCAAATATTTTTCTGAAACATTTTCATCGGAGAAAATAACAAAAGAAACTATAATGATAAACCAATCGTCAAAGCCTTCCTCTTGGACCTATTCATCAACGACAATTGCTTGAGTCTTGACTTGAAAACATCTCCAAGAGGAACATTTGGAGCCTCGTTTGCAGTTTGAAGTCATGTTCTTTTAAAAGAAACAATTATTCATTAGGACAAACATAAGAAAAATCAATCATATATGCTTCAAATATGATCTAAGTTTCAGGGCATCTTAATTCAGAATGAAATCTTCATCAATATCATTGTTAGAACAAACAACTATTTTGGGTTCCTTGCTGCCTCCAACAATAGCGATTTGAAGCAGAATACTCAATAACGAACCTACAGGAAAAGAACTATTACCTTTCAACTTGTAAGATAATTCCTTTCCCACAAGTGCTCCAAATGCAAAGTAATGTCATGTAGAGACCGAATAAATTTTCATTCTTGCTTCTTCCTCACAGAAAAAGTTCAAAAGTTAATTTTAACATACCAAAAATGGTAAGAATTGTTGCACTGCTAACAGAGATATATACATGCTTCCACATAATGCTAAGGTACAAACTTTAGGAAAACACAATCATGTAAAGGGGAAAAAAAATTAAATCAAAGTGTGTATCAACAAAATTTACATCAGCAGATAAGACACACTCTATTGGTGACTCCGAATAATAACCTACTAAATGAATAAGGATCAAAAAGCCATCCCGTGAACCATATTCAAACATTTG